TATGACCACAGAGTTTCCGGTTTCAGCCCTGAATTTGAGCAAATTCACCAGCACTGCACTCGGTAGGTGCATTCCAAATGGGAATTATCATAGAATTATAGAATGGTTAAGGTTGGAAAAGACCACTAAGATCACCAAGTCATCATCAGTCCATCACCACCATACCCACTAACCATGTCCCTCAGTGCCACATCTACACGCTTCTTGAACCCATTCAGGGAAATTAGTTCAAACGATCTCTTCATGAGCAAAATGTGTCTTTAAAACTGATGTAAGGTTGTTTAAACCAAGTCCAGCTGTCAGAAAAGAAACTTCTTCCTTTAGTAAAAAAACAAGCAATGATTTTCTTTTCTCCTTCAGAGTTCATCACTGGGCAACATCTGGATATGGTCTAATTACCATAGCCCAGAGAAGCCTGAAGAAATCCTCCCTTAGCATAGTGCTAGGGCTGAACAACAAACCAGGGGTCCTGTACTCCATATTGCAGCTACACCTTGCCTATCCCAGCCAGATGCTGCCCAGGCTGGTATATCTGTCCAACACCCTTTGCTGTGATTAGATCCCCATAAAACTTAAGAGCAATTTCAGCAGCAAGGCAGCAGCTGGTGGTGGTGGGGGTGGTGGACATCCCAGTAGAACTCTTTGCAGAATAGGGAAATCCCACTGGGACAAGGGGGTGGCTTCCTTCCTGGCCAAATATCCTGCTCCAGCTGCAATGAGAGGAGACAGGTCTGGCATTTGTGTGCATCCTTTTGACTTCATCTGCATTTCAGCTTGGTTCTGCCTCAGCTCTCAAGGCCTCCATGTGATCAGAAAAAGGGCATTTCCCTTCACATTTCCTCCCCTGTTGTACCTTAGAAGGTAAGAGTTTAATAGCAAGGACTTTGCTGCAGGCTCGCACAGCAGGAAAACACTGATGATAACACAAACATCGATGGATGAAAAAAAGAATATAGCTCAGATTCTAGAAAATTCCCTACATTAAAACTAAATGATCTTTAAGGTCCCTTCCAACCCAAGCCATTCTATGATTTTGTGATTTGATTATTAGAAGTGGATATGGAGTTTGACCTAAATTTTCAAGGAGAGAAATTATTATCACTGAGAACAACTTGGGATGAAGCACTCAGGTGCTCCTGGTTGAAGAGAATATCCAGCAAGTCTCTCTCTCAGAACATAAACAGGAAACAGATAAAAAATGTTAGCTGCAGTTTGCAACTAATGAAAAAACTGTATTGAAGCTAAGGCTTTGCTCTAATTTTAATGTATTTTCTTAGGTGTTCCATAGCTGTGACTAATTTGCACTGCTAGGTCTGCCTTTTTTGAAGTTAAAAAGTGCATCTGAAGTGCTGCAACCTTTAGCCAGGATATTCAAATTGCAATAACATTTCAAAGCCTGTCAAATGGGGGGATGATGCTCAGACACCCTCATGCTCTGAGCAATGTGTACAAACAATCTCCCTCATTCTGAATCTCAGACTAGTGGTAATGGTATGTACGGTTTGGAAGATACACTTAATCATCATTAGTTCCTTTGTTCCTTCCTTCTGTCCTATCTTTCTATCTTTCGTTCTTCTGTGCTCCCTTCCTCCATCTCCTCCTTCTCTCTTTCCTTCATTCCTTCAATCTTTTCCTTTGTTTCCTTCCTTCTTTCCACCCTTTCTTCTTCCTTTCTTTCTTCCTTCTTCTCTTTTGTTCTATTTCTCTGTCTTTCTTCCTTTACTTTTCTTTCTCTCTTCCTTATCTTTTCCTTTCTTCTACAGATCTAAATGTATATAATTTTTAAGTTCTTGTTGTTAAGTACTTCTGGTTAATAGACCCCATCACTCTCAGGAAAATTCATCAGAGCAGAAAGCACATAGCAAAATTAAGAGGATTCACAACAAATTGAGTGGGTCTGCTGATCACCATGTAAAACTTCTACCTGCAAGCCATGGGGTGTGAGTCTTTAGACGACCAAAAAGTCAAAGTTTGATGGGGTGAGCTGGGATAGCACTGAGCTGCTCAGCTGTGAGCTCCTCAAGTTGCCAGCTCTGCTCAGTGATCCAGGAGGTGGGGAAACGAGGGCCTTGCAGGAACCCACAGGCAGACACAGCCCCAGCTGGGCAGCCCACCCTGTGTGGCAGGCTTAGTATGTGGGGTGGGCATACCTTATGGTGCCTGTGACAGATGGAGTAATATGGCATAGTGAATTCATGAGAGCAATTCAGGCCACCTGCTACCCTAGACTACGAGGCTGTGGGGGCCAGGCTCTGCCAAATCTGGATGAAGTCTCTGAACCACTGTTAGAAGTCGTTTCTATGCTATAGACATAGCCTAAGTGTGCTGCCTTCTAATGTAGCTCGGAAGCAGGATGGCTGTTCCAACCTGTGAGCTGGGAGAGACTAAAGGGAGCTGCAGTCCTTCAAGAAAACTAAGAAGAGGTTTGATTTAGGTATCCGGTGCTATCTAACATTCTTTATTCATACTTGGGAAGGTAAGTGGGGGTTTGGACATGGGCCAGAGATGTATTTGTACATGACTTATTCTTAAGATCAGGCATACAATGTGATTTGATGCCTACAAGGCGAGGTGTTGTTTGCATATAACTGTGTCTGTATTGTCCATGCAGCTGAGCATAAACAAATGACTGTTTGCAAACATTAACCCTGCAGAGCAGGGAGAGCAGTTGCACAAGAGCTGGATCTGTTGCAGCAGCTATCAACTCCCTAAAAAGCACAAAAAGGTACAGATGTGTGTGGCGCAATTAGTAGCATGACAATGAATGTTTTTCTACTGGGAAAGGAGCCAGAGGAGGTTTTTTTGTCTTCAGGAAGCTGTCAGCCCTTCTCTATGCCCTTCCTACAGAATTTCTCTAAGTGGGGAAATGAAAACCAAATTTACCCAATCTATTCTTGTTTTTTTGTAATGGAAATCAGGTAAAGGCAGTAGGTGCTTCCTGCAAATGGCTACAGCATACACAAGCTGAGCAAAAAATCCATTCAAGGCTGGATGCCAGAGGAAAAAGTTGGGTTTGGATGTTCTGCAATGCCTGGAAAGCAACTTTCACACAAAATTGTTATTTTTGACTGTCAGAGCATTTCCACCCCGTCTGATGAGAGCTGTGTTTTCCCACCTCTCTTTGATGCTGGCTAAATTAATTGCACGATTTCTGACTGGTTTCCTTCTTGCTAATAATTTTTAAATGTTTTCAATGAGAAAGGCAAAATTTTGAACAGAAATATGCCGCCTTTGTGAAAACAGGCAGATGGGTTGAAGTGAAAACACCTGTAAGCATCCTTACCAAAGTAAAGGCAACCATCCTTACCAAGGTAAAGGCTATCAAATTGTTCTTTGTTTGAGACTCATTGTGTGATGGACATCTCATAGGTGTTGCTGCTGTGGGAAAAGCTTCACTGGGTGCTTTTTGATAGGAGAAGGGGAAATAGTTTCAAACTAAAAGAGGGGAGTTTTAGACTCGATATAAGTAAAAAGTTTCGTACAGTAAGGATGGTGAGGCACTGGCACACATTGCCCAGAGAGGTGGTGGGTGGGTCAGGCTGCACAGGGATCTGAGAAACCTGATGTAGCTGTAGGTGTCCCTGTTCATTGTAGGGGAGTTGGACTAGATGACCTTTAAGGTCGCTTCCAACTCAAACAGTTATGTGAATCATATTTTATGATTTTTTTATTCTTTTTCTTCTTTAGTTGTGGAAAGCAGTGCAAGCCTAGGAAACCATGGTTTGCTATTGCTCCAAAATTATTTGTACAAATGATTGCATGTTGCCAGAAAGATTTCTGCATTTAGCTATCTTTAAAAAAAAAACAAACAACAAACACAAACCCACAATCCATGGCTATGACACTACTTCCTTTTAGAAAAAGCTGTCAGTGTGTCAATATCATATGTACAAATCTAGTCTGATCTCAGATTATTCACGTACTACTTCTAAACATCTGAATTTACCCCTTTAATCAGAGTCTCTAAAAACACTCTGCATATGTTACGAAGCAATTCTCCAGGGATAAGGGAGGATTTCACAGGGGAGAAATGTGTGGCTGGCAGGTGAAATGATTCACCTTGGGGTTACACAGAAAGCTGGGAAATGAGGTCCAGCCCTGAAGACACACTGGGAGTGTGGAAGTGACCACAGGGCTTTTTGGCCAGTGTGCATCTGTGGCATTGCTGGCTCATCTATTTGTTTGACCAAATGGGTACAACTGATAGCTGAACCAGCTGACTTTCAGCTTTTTAGCCAAGCAATATTCAAGCCTATGTCTAAAGCGTAACACACTGACCACTTTGCTGCCAAGCACTTCATTAAAGACAACTTTGGTGCTTTTTTTTTCTATGAAATAGTTACTACAACAGTTTCATGGACTTTTAAAGACTAAGGAAAAAAAAAACCAAACAAACAAGCCTATCACTAAAGTTCTTCCTTTCCACAGTAGGATGTGGCTCAGTCTCTGGAGGGTGAGAGAGTTCCTTCCCCAGGCTAGACAATGTCAAAATGCTGCCTTTCAACAGTGATGCACATTCCTGCAATTGTAGCAAGTGGCATTTGGCTGTTAAATGCTAAGCCTCATATAACTAAATTTCATCTAAATTTTATCATTATTTATGTGTTTATTCAGTGCTTATTCTTTATGTATCACTGTAGATGTTACATCATACAGAAGTTAAATAACTCTCAAAGCATTAACCAGTGAAATCTCCCCATTCACATCTGTAATGGGTGAGAAAATACTGAGACAAGCTTCTGCTCTCAAAAGTGTATTGCAAAAACTGCATGTGCATTTTAAATATAAATTTATCTGTTATATTCTTCTTAGCATAATGAAAAAGTGAACAAAAGGTCTACTTTCTATATAATTTTCTGAGCTTTGGAGTTATGTAACAATTTTGTGAATTTGTCCTGCAAACTTGATACATTGGATAGAACTTAATTGAGGGATAACTGATGAAGGAAAAGCTTTGTTGAGGTTTTTTTTTTTTTTTTTTTTCCGCTCCCATTGTTGAAGCTCTTCCCCTCTGAAGCCTGTTTGGTCAATCTGAAATTGGATAAAAAGATTCCAGTCTTTCTGCAACTATCCTAAAGAAATTTGTGATATATGAGCCTTGAAATTATGATTATCATCAGCATGCAAGATCTCCCAAAGACATTTTTGGAGCTTTGCAAGAATTAATATTTACAACAGTCAAACACCCAATGTCCTCAGGTTTTATGGCAGCTGCAGGCAATAAAGCACATTAACCCATAGCAAGTAACAATCCTAGCCAAGCCAAGTTTGCTCCTCCTTGCAGAAGAACACAGAGCTTTGTGAAAATAGGATGGGTCATTAATGACAATGGACTCTTCAGCTGAAGTGACTTCCTGTTAATTTGGAGCTCTGTTAGTATGTCTGTTCTTGCTGATTGCACTCAAAAGTCTGGGACAGTGAAGAAATTTGAGTTTGTGTTGCATTGGAGCTTGTGTCTCAGCTCAGATCGAGACACACTGAGCATTCCTGGGTGTCCCAGGAGTTTGGCAATCCCAAACACGAGGATGGATAGTCTGTAGGTTATTGCAGATCTGGATGAGAGAAGATCTTTACCGTTCCCTTGACGTAAAAACTAAAATGCGCCATGTGTGTTATAAACGGGAGGTGGTCTGAATACGTCTCCTAGTGGTTAAAAGCAGCCATGACATGTTTTGCACGTGCTTTGCTAGAGTTTTGAAGCTCACGGTAAATTGGATAAGTAACTTTTTTTCCCCCTAGTATTACCTTCCTGTTTTAAATTGGATTTTCATCCTTCCTAGAATGTTTGGACTTCCTCTATAGCAATGAGGATGATAACTGCAAGAAAAAGGATATAAACAGAGAAGGTTGGTCAGCACTCTGATTTCCGCCCATCACAGGGTGTTTTAGGCACTTTCCTGTCTATCTCTCCTTTTCCTCACTACTGTGGACATTATATGTTGGAATTTCATAACTAAAAAACCTGATCCCATTGTGAATGAAGCAATAAAAATCTGAAACGAAAAGGTAATCCTGCTCCAAATTGCTTTTGAGATGTATGACAAGAAACAACAGATGGATACAGCTCACTGAGGGGAATTAAAGGCAGCAGTGAGGCAGTACTGATCAGTGTGATAGGCAGGCAGCACAGGATGTAAGCTGTTGCCAAGGCTTTTGCATTGTGGCAAAGAAGGAAAAAAAAAAAAAAGGAAGGATTTGACAAAAGCTAATGAGAGAGCTCTGTAAATATTTTTGTAAGCCAAGAGCATGAGAGAAAGCACGAAATAGATTGTTTGAACATCTAACAGTAACTAATTTGTGTAGTATGATACCCATGACTTCATAATGGAGGTTATGAAGGGTAATTCATGAGCATGTCTGAGTGTGTTTAAATACCACTGCAGAGTGGAGGATTGTTAAACTAATAATTCTAGAGAAAAGGCTTAGAATCATGTTAAGGAAAGGCTGTGTGATTTTAGGCAGGTGATAAGCAAAGAAATTGTAAGCTGCTGGCCCATAACCTTCTGGTATGAGCGGAGGAGGTTATTAATATGAAAACTGACAAAGGGATTTTTTAGCCATTGCAGACTCTGCTGTATCAGGTTGGGTTCTGTTTTCATTTGCAATGGCTAAAATATGGTTGTGGTTGCTCTGAATTTAGAGCTGGTGTGTGTTTATTTCAGGAAAAGACATTTCACTTAGGGTGAGAGAATACATATTGGGATAAAAGAAGTTCTATAAACAGCAAGTCTACAGTCAGCACGTTGCTGTCAAGGAAGTTAGCCTATCTCAGCAAGATTGATGTAGTTACGTTGAAGGAAGTGTCATACCTAAAACCAGTATTTCTCTTAAACATGTCTCATTAATACTTACAATTAGATTTTAAAGCTATTATTTGGGAAACACAATATCTTTTAAAAGAACTCTGCTTTTAATCTCACAAAGCTCCTTAAAGCCAATACCTGATGGAGCCCACTGACTGAATACTTTTTGTCTGCTGCCTGCAGCAGAGATAAAACTGGGAGGACCACTGTGAAAAAGACTTTGTATGAAGCCAGTTATTCATGACATGCGACAGCAGCTACGATGACTTTCCTGAAACACAGACCCTCCAAATCTTTATTCTTTGGAATTGATGTCAATATTTTTAATTATTATTATTTTTTAACATCCAGGATTTTCTATGCCTTAATTTTTATAGTTGAATTTTAGGTTGTCAAATCTAATCTTCTCAAGAAGCCTTTAGATATATTTTTTCTAGTATAATTTGTGTAAGATAATGCAGGCTGGAGCAAATGTGACCTCTCCATGCCCTACTCTTCACTAGACAAAAGCAGTTGCCAGCAGCTGTGTCCATCTCATCCTTAAAGGGGTTTTAAAATGCCACTTGATATGCTGAATGTATTTGAATGAATATTTTCTGTCATTACCAATTGAAATAACTCCTGCCACCTCTTTATGACCTTCAGAGCTAGAAAACAGCATTCTTTTTCTTAAGGACAATTTGGGAAGGTCTGATTTGGGAAGTATTTCCTTGCTCTTGAAGAGAGGCATTTACACAGATCTGTGTAGGTATTATAGGAAACTAATTTAACAAGTCCTAGGCTCTAGTTTCAGGATGGCTCAGGTATGAACTCATTCAGTGGCTGTGGGAACATTTGTTCGGGTATTTTATCATCAAAATTTTCCGAGTCTCTGTGAAACCTGAATAGGATTAAGTCATAGTGAAAATCAAATTCTTGTTTAGTTTTGCTTTCAGAAAATATGGAAGTAGGCCTAGAAAGAGTTAAATAGAAGTGGACAAAAGCTGGGGTTTTCTTAGCTAGAAGATACTGTGCATAATAAGGAAGATAAAAGCAGTAGTTTGTGGTAGGGGAAATCCTGACCTCATTTGTAAGACAGTTCACTCCAAGTATGCTCTTAGGAAAAGACAGGACTTTAAATTCAGTCACTACACATGCTAGCACAGTACACAAAATTTAAGCTTTTTTTTTCTCTGTTACCAACAGTATGGGGAAAGGGAAGTCCACACTTCACCAGCATTTTGTTTAACTTCTGTTTTTCAGAGAAAGGGTAATTTACCCCCGAGTTTCCTCATAGGTATCTTTGGTTTCTGAGAAGTTGCGATGGCCATACAACTCCAGTTTATACTCACTACAACTGCAGTTTGAAATTTTGGAAAATTTCATTTAGGTACTTCAAACTCAACGTATAAGAGCATAATCAAAATCAGCAGCTTTGGAAATTCTCTGCCTCTATTTAGGATGTACATATACTCCAAAGATAGAAGAAAATATACTTGTAGTTTGTGCAAAAATGAAGATAAGTCAGCTGGATTTTAGTAGATAGAGAGGTCTGGGTTTTATACTAATGTGTCCTTTTGAAGTTTTCATTTAACACTAGCCCAAGCTAAAAGCCCCAGCTGCCATATATATGGCAACTTCAGTTAAGAATTGATTTTTTTTTTCCCTAAGAACTGACAAATTTTGAGTTGTCTTATTTGTGAAACAGTGAAATGTGAAATACTTCAATGGTGAAATTGTGAAATGCTTCTTACCTGCTCCTTCATGGGCATGTATTTGAGTTAATGCTTGTACAGAGTGTGAAAACAGGAAGTCCTCATTTATTAAATCTGAAGATGAAGAATTGCATGAAATAGATGAAAGGTAACCACCCCTGTACATCTGGCCCAGTCTCTTACCTGTCCTGATCATGATGTTTTTGCTTTGAACAGGTGGAACAAGGTAATAAGGTGGCTAAAAATAAGTTTGTGGTGCTATTACACGTTTTCTTCTTCACAGAAGACAAAACATAGAAGACAACAGCTCGGGTTCTGAATGTCAAGGCATGATGTAGTTCATCTACAGCCAGCATTGTTTCCCTGATAAAAATAAAAGCAGTGCACGTTTTTTCTCATGTTATCTTACAGAGATGAGTCAGGGCAAACAGCTATGCAGATACATGTATTTTATTTATAAACTTAATGATAACTGCATTATTATTAATTATACAGAAAATAATAGCTGGTACTACTCAACTACTCAATCAGTGGGCTGGCAGGGAAAGGATTTTGCTATTTTTAGTACACTAGAACTATAAACTTAAGACTAATCTTTTAGGCAGCCATTTGCTAGTCTTAGTAACTTTTTGTTGGCAATTAAAAATGGGTGACAAAACCTAAACAATTTAGGTTTTTGTTTATCATTCTGACAGCCTAAGTACTGAATGCATAAATTACATTGTGTGATTTTTTCCCTCAGTTGTAACTGAAAAAATGCAGATACGCAAATTCTTCTTTAGAAATTTGCAACTTCCAATCTGTATTTATTTCTGTACTGTTACTGGAACAGTTATGCTGGGGGTTATCACATCCGCCTTCAGGTACCAACTGAAGTATCTGAGCTGAAATCTACCCTGAGCTCCCTCTATTCTCAGCTATGTCCTCATCCCACTGTCTATTTGAATCCTGGTCTAAGTTGTTCCACAGATGTTATGACCAATAGGAATACCTTCCATTAAAACTGGTAATTTTTACATACTCCTCTGTGTAAGCAATATCTAAAATCCTAAATCATGACAGGCTGGAGGGAAAGGATTTGCTTTGGTCTGCTAATGCATGAAGTAAATGGCAGTAGCACTCAGAAATTCAACTGCAGCAGCTTCTGGGTACTTGGAGTAGTCCTGGAGGCAAGGAACTTCTAGTTACAGAGCTGTGATTATTTCCCATGCCAATTAGCTCACACCACTACTTCATCAAAAATAGACCATACCTTTGTTTACATTTATGTAATTTAATGGTCTGCATCCTGAGTATCTGCACACATTTGTAAAGGCAGATTCCTTCTGGTAGGACTATGCATGTCTATAATGTGCCATAAAGAACTGTGACATTAAAACAATCAATAATAATATAGCATCTTCTCTCTCCTCCCCAGGAAAAAGCTTTTTTGTTTATAAACTTACCTCCTGTTTTTTTTTTTTTTCCTTATTCTTTGTGTGCAGCCAGTGCTGGTATATGTTGCAAGCAGGGTGGCTAGATTAGATGTTGCGAATCTAATGTGACATACTTCACTTGTTCCAGCTAATTCCAGCTGTCACCTGGGCCTGTAACTCTGCTTTAAGCAGCTGCTAAGTGTTCGGAGCTTTGCTTCTCTTGATCTGCAAGTCCCCAGTTCTGAACCATTCAAAGCAGGTTTTATCAACACAAATAGGATAAAAGCTTAGGCAGTACTTTATTATTTTTCAGAGTACTCACTAGTAAACGCGTGCAGCTTTCTCCCTGTTACTTTCCTTATTCCTTCCATACTCAGTGCTGCCAGAAAGATATTTTTTTTCGTTCTGGAAAAAAGCAAACACTAGTGAAGGCAGAAGATTAAGATTTAGGAAAGAAAATACATGCAGTGAAGGGAGGTAAGAGTGATTACACCTTGCTTTTGTGTGTGAAAGTGAGCCATTCCTTCAGTTTGAATTAAGCAACTCTGTTTTGCCATTACTTTGCATTAATGCTGTGGGGTTTTTTTTCTTAATCCTGTTGAGAAAAAGTCTGTTGCATTCATGTATCATGCTTGTTTTTATGCACTCAAAACATCAACACTCACAGCAAAGATCCGAAAATAACAATTTAAAGTTTTATCGCTGTTTCCTAATGCCAGTAAATTGCATGGCAGCAACATTTTTGTTGAAATAAAGAAAAGGAGATCACTTACCAATTGCTACTGGTGACAAAATAGACTCAACTTGGGGAAGGTTGATTTAATTTGTTGCTGGTTAAAAATAAAAACACATTCTCATAATATCCTTCTGTTTCCCAGAGTCCACTTCACTGTTTTGTGGGCTCAACTTCATTGTGCAGCAGGTGTATTTCAGAGATCAATGGCTCTGTTGGAGATGGAGGTCTCTTTTCATGGAGGCCAACCTCTGAAGCTGTCCTGCTACCAAAGCACTCACTCCACCTGCTTTTATAAAGAGAAGAAATCAGAAAAAAAATCAGATTCCAAGGGATCCCTAAAGATCTCTAGTGAAATCTGATGCTCAAAGCAGGGCTAACGTGGAAATTCCATTAGGTTTCCCAGGAATGAAAATTTCACAACCTCTCCTTTTCAATTATAAGGAAGAAAAACTGGATGGATTGCATGAGTGGGAACTAGAGCCTGGTTTGCAATTCAGACTTCATTATTACTGAGAGTGGATGAATGCCATGAAATTAGAACTGTGTTTGAAGAGAATTGGCATCCACACAGTTTGCAGTGGAAAACGTTCACATTAACAGCAGTCATCCTTACAGTTATCCTTTACTGCATCTGATCTGCCTTGGGGTGGAATGGGCAATAAGGGTGGCAAATGTTCCTTAAGGCAAAGACTCTTTAGCAGTCTGGATTCAGATGGCTTTAGGTACAATGGAGCACAAGTACCAATGACTTCTATAGTGACCATTTTGAGCTCCCTTGTAAAAGGTAAAAGTTACATGTTATGTAGAGTGAATGAGGTGTAACTGAAAAAAGCAGTGACCTCAGCCTCCTTCCTGGCCTGTGTCTTTTATACAAACCTTGCATGCCTCCCTGCTACAAATCAGAAAATGTCTCATTATATGACAAAAGGGAAAAATAATTTTTTGGCTTTTGAGTGGTGCTTTAGGGTGCAAACAATATTAACAAATATGCTAAGCACTGAAAACAGAGGATACCTATAAAAACCTTCATTTTCAAATATATGCTCAATGTCATTGTAAGAAATCTGAATACTGTCATCCTATGGAGTGAAGACAGATGCCTGGTCCAGTCTTTATGCCTCCTGGCACGGTAAAGACAATGCAAAAGGAAAAAAGAGGGCTATAGAAGAAAATGATCCAAAGGATGGAACACCTTTCCTATGAGGACAGGCTGAGAGAGCTGGGGCTGTTCAGCCTGGAGAAGAGAAGGCTCTGGGATGACCTGAGAGTGGCTTTTCAATATCTAAAGTGGGGCTATAAGAACAAAGAGAATGAAAAGAACAAAAAGAATGGGCTGCCCAGAGAGGTGGTGAAGTCACCGACCCTGGAGGTGTTCAAGGAATGTTTGGATATTGTGTTGAGGGACATGGTTTAGCAAGAACCATTGGTGATGGGTGAATGGTTGGAGTGGATGATCCTGTGGATCTTTTCCAAACTTAGTGATTCTATGATTCTATGAAAGGAGACAGATTCTTTATCAGGGTGTGTTGTGATAAGACAAGGGGAAATGGTTTCAAACTAAATGAAGGGACATTTAGATTGGATATAAGGAAAATGTGTTCTATGATGAGGGTAGTGAGGCATTGACACAAGTTACCCAGAAAGGTGGTGGATGCCCCATCCTTGGAGACATTCAAGATCAGACTGGACAGGGCTCTGAGCATCTGATGTAGCTGTAGGTGTCCCTGTAAATTGCAGAGGAGTTGGACTAGATGATGTTTTAAGGGTTCCTTCCAACTCAAATGATTTTATGAAGATCTGAGTTAGAAAACTCAGAGGGAAGTTGCAAAGAGGTGGGTTTGCTCTTTGTAGCTTGAAGAGAATGGGAAAGAAGAAATCAGTAGCTGTTATTTAGGCAGTAGCCATCTCTGAGTCTTCATCTTTTCCTTACTGGCTGGAGGGGTAAGCACAGCTTTTCTGAGCTCTGTCATATGCTACAGAGGTAGCCAGAGCCATGGATGGTTTGTGATCAGAAAGTTGCTTGTGTGTCTAGAACTGGTTTTGCTTTCTGAAATGAGACTGGTAGTGAAAGATACTCAGGGGAAAGCATCGTCTGACAAAGTGGGTGAGATGTGGTTAGAATTAATATGTAAAGAAGGCTGCAAATTTTGCATATTTATGCAATCACTTTTCCGGAGGATGTAGCTACTATATATAAGTTCTGGTATTTATTTTAACTTAGTAAGAACTGAACACCATCTGTACTCAGAGAATAAAGACAAAACAAACTCACACTGTTTAGCTTTTTTGTTTTTTGAGCTCTTCAGAGAAGAGACTATGCCATAGGTCTCTAGGACATTTAGCATCAAGGGTGTTTAAGGCCCCCTAATGTACTTCAAAAAAATAAAGTAGAGCACAAGAATATTGCATGGGAGACCCTACAGCTGGCTTAGTGCTGAATTACAAACTCTGCTTAGTGCCAAAACTTTTGTGCTATTTACGTTTAAAGGTTGCTCTTGGCTGTACTGAAGAACAGAAGGTTTGGCTGTTATTATTTTACAAGATTTAGATAAGTTGGAATCACTTGGCAACTCAATTTGAGAGCTGCTTTCTCCAAAAGAAAATATACTGCTTTTTAAAGATATATATATATATTTTAAATACATGCAGCCTTTATAACATACTAATATACTCTGCTGCACAGTCTCTGCAGCACTCTTCTAGTCGTTGCTTTATTAATTTGATTCATCCCTGGTTAACTCAGATTGGTCTTGCAGTAACTCTGAAGACTTCCATATTGAGCTTCAGGTTTTGCTTCCTGTCAGGAGACTGAATGTTTCTGGACAGTACGTAAGTGAATTACCTTCTTTCCTTTTGAAGTCTTTATCATAATGATGTTATTTGCAGGGGTAATCATGCATGTCATTATAAAAAGGTGATTGTATCTTGTTCAAGTCAATCAACACTATACTGGCACTGCAATATATTGGCAGCAAATCACTGTAAGAAGATTTCTGTGAACAAGAATCATGTTAAATCCAGGACAAAATTCAGGGAAATATGAATTAAAGAACAGACTTAGAAGGAAAACCTGTTCATAGATTCATTTATGAACTACACTACTGTGCTTTCGCAATTAAACAATGCTGCTTTCTTGTAAGTTTAGCATGTACTCTGTTCATGAAAGACATATGGATTCTATCAGCACACCTTCCACTTCTTGATCACAGATCTACTTGCACTGTCTTAAGAAAGGTGTGAAAGAGAATGTCTCACATGGTAGTGCCATGTGTGTGCCATATTCCTAGCATGCTTTAAAAACAACCTCTCTTTTGGTTCAATATGGGACACTGAAGAATAATATATTTTACAATTTATATTAATGTAACTTCCAGATGTTTGGTGAAGGGGCCGAAGTGCAATCTGCTGAAAGATGTAAACCAGCTTCCTTTTAAAACAATAGCAGAATTTTAACAAAGAAATACCAGAAAGCAATTAGTTACTGCTATTATCCATGTGCCCTGGATCAGTGCCCTGCTCTGCTGGATAACTGTACTAAACTCAGAGAAATGCCTGCTACCCTGAGGCATTTACAGTCTAAGGTTGCAATGCTATAATGAGTTGTGTGGGCTTGATCCTAAAGAAGAAACTGAGGGCTGAAGACTTAATTCTAAAAAAGATCAGCTAGTGAGCTTACCGATATGTAAAATATGTGGATGAGAACAAAACTAATAAGAAAGTTGCTGAAGCCTTTGGTCTACGTAATCTGAGAACTCAAAAGAAGTCTGGATCTTTCAGCTAGGATTTAAAAATAAATCTGTCCTCTGTGAATGTATTAATAAATTAGCTTCTAACTCTAGCCTGAGTTATCATGAGTGCTTCTGTACGTTATTATAATATCATCAGTGACCAGACTCGAATCCTGAGGTTGCATATGCTGTAAAAACACAGAAAACTAAGCAAGGTTCATCTTTGTGGAGTATGAGTTTTCTTTTATAATTTTGAGTAATTTCCACATATGTCAGATTATATTATTTCACTGAGTAAAATATTGTATTTAGATGGTTTTCTGGTCTTAGAAGTTTTGAGTAAATCAACCTTGAAAAATTCTCCAAACGCCGAAGACAGATAAATTGAAATAAGAAAAGATGGCAACAGATTCAGCTGTGCCAGAAAAGAAAGCCTGATACCTTTGATGAATAATTCACCTTAGTAAATATTGTCTCTGTAATTTAACTTACAGGATACCCTACAGAAAACTGGAAGTGTTGTTATGGAGGAATAAACAAGAACTGTAGAAAATAAGACAGTGGGGGCACACTGTCAGACGAGTTTGACAACCCATAATATGGCTGCACTATTTTAATATCAGGAAAAATGTAACATGGAAAACAAACACAGACTATTGGGCATTGTTTGTACTACAGTCATTTCTCTCTGTGCCACCAGCTGTGTATAGAATCCTCCTTGGCCCTGGGGCAGTACAGGCTGCCTGCTCTCATGCTAGAAGTTGCCCCATGATATCCCCATGCAAATCAGGGATTTTGATGCAGTAAACTGCAGTTACTTATTTACAGGAGGTTATGTGTCCGTTTTCAGTCACATGTGATGTAGCAGTATGTATCTAATTGCTATATTTGCGGTCTTGGGCAACATTTAAATATAGTCCTTTTATAGTAATGTAGAAGTACACCTGAAAGTACCTGATATGTTTAGTTATGCAAATATTGGAACTTTGTTCTCTCTCTGCTGCACTTTCAACTCTCTATGGACCCTTGGATGCAAATAAAGCAATACGGGCTTAGTTAATTATAGAATCAAAGACAAATGTTGTTTAGAAGGGACCATTGGAAGTTACTGGTCTAACTCGTTGCAAAACAGCAATAAATTCAAATCTAGATTAGATTGCTCTGCTCCTTATTTAGCCAAGTTTCAAAAATCTCTAAGGAAGGAGGTTACAATGCCTCCCTGGGGAACTTGGGCTATTGTTTAATCTCTGTCATGGTGAAAACATTTTTCCTTATATTCAAGCAGAACCTCTTGCTGCAACTTTTGGCTGTTGCCTCCCATCCTCCCATTGTTTGCCTCTCAACAAGCCTGTGTTGCTTTTCTTTATAACCTTCCTTCAGATAGGTTTAGTTAGATCTCTTCTTAGCCTTCTTTTCTGGCAGCTAAGCCCTTCTGTCTTACAACCTCTGCCTCCATAGGGGCATCCACAAGCTTGCTGACATTGTCCTTCATCCCATGGGCAGTGTTAGAGATAAAGATGTTAAGTATTATTAGCTGCAATATCCAATGTTGATGAATGCTACTCATGACCAGATGTCAGATTTCATGCTGGTCACTGCAACCCTTTGAACTCAATGGTTCAGCCAGTTTTCAGCTTGAGGTCCACCTATGTAATCCATGTCTTTACAGCTTGCTGCAAGGATTCTTTGGGAGATTATCAAAGCCTTGCAAGAAAGTAAGCTTCATCATAGAATCATAGAAAGGCTTGGGTTGGAAGAGACCTCAAGGATCTTCAAGTTCCAATACCCCCTGCCACAGGCAGGGCCGCCAACCTCCACATTTAATACCAGACCAGGCTGCCCAGAGCCCCATCCAGTCTGGCCTTGAACACGTCCAGAGATGAGGCAGCCACAGCCTCTTTGGGCATCCATTTCTTCCACTTCCTACACAAAGGAAAGGGATGGCAATCTGGTTGGTAAAGCACGATTGCCCACAATAAACCTTTCCTCACCAGTTCTAAGCACCTTCCATTCCTACTGTGCTGATAAATGGCTTTCACAAGGCCACAGCGATGCTTTCCATGCTAGCAAACCAGGAAAACCAGCATGAAGTGCTGTGATACTAATGTGATCTCATGGTATACATAAACATACTGGCTAATGCCTACAGATAATCTTTGTTTTGTTCTACATTCAACTGCAATAAAGGAGACTTGCTGTATGCTGCCATATCGTGTTTTTTCTTGATACATTTTTTATCTAGAGATAAAATGAGTTCACTTGGAAGCTATTTATTTTATATGGAAAATACAATTGTTTGGTTTCTGTTTTAACCCAAATTAATCTTATGTAAAAATGTTGAAATGTGAATATTTAAAATGAACAATGTTGTACTTAAACAGTCCCCAAGGTTAGAGAAAATTTGTTTATGCACAGCAAAGTTCATTTTTACTATATGTGCTATTTTTTCATACTGAGAGATGCAGGGGCAGATACAAATAGATCAAGAGGGAATGTGTTTGGCTTTTAGTATGTGTTTCACAAAGTTAGCATTAACTATTGATGAAGAAGTTCACTGTATTGTGCTTTTGTCAAGCTAGGAACTGCTGATAGACTTCAACAAAGTGGAGCATCCTGAGAGGTTCTTTAGATTTCAGAGACAGAAAGTATTTTCCTTTACAAAAAAAAAAGCAGTTCATAGTTATGAATTAAGGTACCTGTACTTATGTATGTTAAGATTTCTTAGGTTGATGTACACAAGAATTTAGTACACAAAAAATACTCTACCTGAAAATTTCATCTGAGTTTCTGTCTCTCTGCACTTCTGACCTTTCCTTTTTGTTCTCACCACTTCTGTAATTCTGAATCTGAGCTTCTTTTACAGCATTCTGGTAAAAAGACAAATGTTATGAAATCTTAACGCTTCTATTAAAAAAAATTGTGAAACTATCAAAACCATTGGCTGTCTGAGACTGTGCCAGAAGGTAAATAATTGGAACAATAAACATCATGTTAAGCAAGTCAGTTTTGAGGGACATGTTATACATTCCATGCAAACAAAACACTGCTAAAATTGACCCTGTAGTGATTAGATTCAAGAAGAAGCTCTGCTGTAGCCTCAGGAATATCTCACAATATCTACAATGCAAAATATTTATAGTATTCAGGGCACTCATGTTAATCCAGTCTTTTGCCAAAACAGACAAGGTAATGTTATTACATGTGATAAAGCTCAGAGCTGGCTTTTTTCCTTCAGGAATTTTCAACAGACCTTTTTTTGAGTAGAAAACTGAAATTATGGCCAGTCAATTTAAGAGAAATATAGAGATGATGGGGAATAAATGTTGCATTGACACCAAAAGCTGTTTCCTTGGGGCTCAGTTACCCTGTCACAGAACAAATAATTTGTGTTGAACAGAAAGATCACTGACTGTACAATTGGCTGAGGATATTCCCTGTTCGGTTTACTGGAATTCTAGCATTTTGTTTCCTTTATTCAAAGAATTCTTAACCTTCTTGCTGAATTTGTATACAGAGAATCACTGAGAATGACAGCATTATCTAGGTTGGAAGGAGGTTTCTAGACAAAATCCAGCTCAGAGCAGGGTTAGCTGTCAGTTCAGATCCATTTGCTTGTGGCTTGATTCTGTCTTTTCTTGAAAACCTCCAGAGATGGACATGGCACATCTCTATGCCCTTGTTCCAGTGCTTCACTGTTCTTAGAATGAAGTTTCCTCAGACACATTCAGTACTTTCCTGATTTCAATGTATGGCCTCTGTTGCTCCATTTCCTGCTGTGCACCTCAGTTAAGAGCCTGGCTATCATGTTGATGACCTCCCTGGAGGTCCCAGGCCTGCTATTAGTTCTCTTCCCATCTTTTCCCTAGCCCTGTTCTCTTAGCCTTTCCTCTCAGAGAAAGTCTCCAGCCCTATCTTGGCAAGTCTGCTGAGTTTGTTCCAGTTTACCAATGTCTACCAGTCTTGCACTCCACATTACCCACAGCCCTCTGCAGAAGCTTTTATTAAATTAGGGGATTACAGTGAGGCTGATGAGATTTTACTGACCTCATTATCATTCTGTCACTCCCTGGTAGGGCACAAATTTAAGTCAGACAACATTGCTGCACAAGTGTCTGGTATGGCACTCTTATCTCCTTACCATATCCTACTCTCATTCAGTGTAGCTCAGTTTACCTTTATGTTTCAAAGGAGACGACAGACATTAAGGTAATTAATTACAACCATAATACAATCTGAAAAATATTCTGTATATAACATACTAAATTAGATATTCTTGCAGGTTAAAAGATTACTATTGACAGTTCTGGGATCTGTCCATACTTCACACACTTTCCCTTCCCAGGGAAAAATGATGGACATCACTGTCTCCTTTTTTTTGCACTTGCACTAGCTTATTCAGAGTGGTGGTGAAACACTACAAATCAAAGAATATTGAACGTTAAGGGGCATGTTTCCCTACAAAAGTTTAAATTAGGAGTAGCTCTTCATAGCTGAAGAACTGTGAGGAAATAGCAGATGGTAGCTGACTTCTCTAGTAGGTGAGTAGGTACAATTAGTGGAGAGTACAAATCCCATCTGGAGGTACTTTGTCAAAGCTGGTCTTGCGTTAGGATATTTCTGATGTCAGTGAAACTTATCTATGAACTATTAAAGATACACGTGGTAAATCACAGTTAATATTATAAAGAATTTTCTTTTGTACCATGAACAGTGGTAGTGCAAACCAGACAAATTAAGTAAAAAGGAAAGAAGATGCAAATGGTACTGTTAATATATTGCTGAGATCCCTAAGCTGTCCTCTTTTCCTCCTGATGTCTTTCTGCTGAACCCAGTGTGCTCCCACAGAATAATATTGAGCTCAGAGTCACTGTACTCACTTGGACAAAACTTAAGTCAATAAAAAGGTTTGTGTGGCAATATTAAGAATTGGGAATAAATATCTGAAACCCTGAGAAAGACATCTCAAGACTGTGCAGGACCCTTGGTTGAAAGTAATAATCCAATTTGCATAGTCAGTTACCAAGTGGTTGCTTGGTTGCTAATATAGGTATGTAAATGTAAATTTGCATTGCCTGGCAATGAAAGAAATGACATAATGCACCAATAAAGCACATCCGTGGAATTCTTCTGCTTCATTATTCTGGAAGAAGGAATACAAAACAGAGATACACTGAAGTCGGAAAGAATATTACAACCTGACCTCTCTGAGTTTTGTTTAAATAAACGCTTTCACCTACCTAAGAATTTCTACTAAGATTTTACAGCTGAAGTGTTTAAACACTTGAGATGGTGTGTTTTTTCATGGATCTCTAGACTGCAAAGAGTTAGTATGACACACTTTAGAGCAGCATACTTCTTGTCTTCTCTTTGCCTAGAGCACGTAGTTCTTACCAGACCGAATAAAAACTTAAATAAAGATCTGTGCAGTAACATGGGCACAGAAATGGGTGCTCCTGTGGTCCAGTTAGTGGAAGGAAGCAGTGCTCTGAGTTTCAGTCCTCATTGAAAGAAAGATGTGGCTGTGCAACAGTGATACAGGTGTGCAGTCATCTTAACTGTAAGTGAAAGAGAAGACAGTGAACTGAGCACCGTATGAATAAACCTGCAGAATACAAATGATGTCTATATTAATTTTCAAAAGGAAATTCCTTTAGTCCTCATATAAATCATGGTGAAACCGTAAAAGCTTGCGGGCAATAGGTAGTGACTCATTGTGTATTGAGCAGCTCAAAAAGAAAGCAGAGTCCCTTCAGTTGTTTCTCTGCTGCGTGGGCAGCCCCGACTGAGAACCTTCTGAGGTGAAAACATCCCACGGACTGCCATCAGCCCTGTGGTTACAGCTCGTCGAAACTATGACGTGTTACATAAACGTGACTCTAATTCAATGCCAGCCACATACTACTGCTGAGTCACCTGAAGCAAACAGGAGGAGGACAGCACCTCTTATCAAAGCACCAGGCCATGACTTCACTCGCTTCTTAAGAGGCACTGGAGCAAGCTAGAGGCACCTCAGCCTTTTTGTGCCATCAGACCCTCCGGGAAACTGGCTTAAGCTTCCGTTGAGAAGAAAAATGGCTTTCCCGAGGGCTCTCCCGGTGGAGAAGAGGTGCGAAGAGCGGGACCCTCACAGCGAGGGCGGGAAGTACCTCAGCGCCTCACAGCAGCGGGCAACCAGCGGTGAGGACCCGCCCCCACCCGGCCCCGTCATCTTTCATGTCTCTGATTGGTCACAGTCAAGAACGACAGGGCGAAAAGCCAATCAAAACGCGCATTGCCCAGAGGGGGAGAGGAGGGCTCTCAGAGCCGGGTGAAGCAGCGGCCCCCCCTTCAGGCGGCCGACTGGGAGGAGCGGAGCGGCCCTGAGGGACGGAGCCAGTGGAGGATTGTCGTGTCCCGTCCGCTCTGCCTCGCTGTGCAATGGAGGATGCGCTGCCTTCGGGCCTGTTGGAGGTCTGCTTGCTGGTCGGCGTGCCTAGAGAGCAGTTGAGGACTCAACTGCAGGTGAGGGGGGTCGTTGGGTGCCGGGCTCGGTTGTCTGTGGGGCTGCTTCTGTCAGCGTGGCTCTCCTGGAGGTTTAACTAGGGTTTGGACGAAATCAGCCTCCCTCACACCCCCCCTGACTCTGCTTCTTTCCACCGAACAGCAAAACTGCTGATTTGCCTCGGTGTTGTCGTTGGGTGCGGCAGAAATGCTTTAAAAACAGTTGTTTTGGTAGGAGAGTATCAACAAAGTAGGGGTTATTCCATAGCGATGTTAAGCAACGACACTTTTTGGATGTATGTGAAGAACGCAATGGGTTTCTGTAAGCTGGAGCAGCAGAATGTTTCAATAGTGTGTATCCTTCACAGGTTAACATCCCATTTTCCATCTTCTGGATTATAGGGGAATAAAGCACCAGTAGGAGAACACGAGGGTGTAAATCCCTGCATGGAGATTAAACTTAGAGTCACGAAGTGCTCCGATTTCTTACAACCTGTTCTGTTCAGGCACTGCAGAAGTTGCTAGGTTGTGTTCTGCTTTGAGTATTCGGTTTATAAGTTGTTGGTCACCTGTTGCTTCACATGTGAGTTAACAATTCGATTCTCTTCCTGATTTTGCTTTGTTAAAATGTGCTGATGGCAGTGTCTGATAGTGTCCTGCTGTGGGAGAAGCTGAGATGCTGGCACATGCTGAAAGCCAAAACTTCTGCTCCCACGGATCTCTGCTGTCTGCCTTGAACTTGACTTTGTGCACTCTAATAGTGTTAGATAAAAAAAAGTCTTTCTTGTTGCTCACTTACTCAGAAGACAGCTTTGCTGGTGTTGGCTTCTTAAGTGATATTGGTTAAAGAGAGGTTCAAATTCCAGGACCTCATTCATGCATACGTTGATATTGGGGAAGTAGATGTGCCATAAATCTTATCACCAGACTTTTGAAACTGGCGTGTACGTGTTGTTTTGGTATTTGTTTGAGAAGTAAAGTTAGAATGGGTAAATTTCTTTTGTCAGTCCACAGTGTGATCTCATTGCTTCTAAAAAAAAACCTGTAGAACAATAAATAGGAAATTGGATTAAAAAAAAATAATAAATGGAGCCATTCAATTGCTTTGCTTATGCTGCAGGTTTTGAATCCTCTGCTCAAAATACAGAGTGCAGTGTCAGAAAGGAAAGTAGTCTCTCTGGGTATTAATATTACTATGGTAACATCTCTTCAAGCTGTTGAACTGCAGGGATTTCAGTCGCTGTCTGGGGGAAAGTTTGTAGGATTATTTCACTTCCTCTTCTTTCCACAGTGCTATCTATGTGAGGAAATGGTAGGATATGTTTTGTTCAGTTACAGTGAATGCAGAAAGAAGAGAACTATCTACAGAAAAAGAAAACTTTACTGCGAAGTGCTGGGCTCAGGTGATATTCAACCTTCAAATCTTGTCTTGAAATTGTATTTATGCAGTTATTTTATTGCAGTGTGGGGCTATAAAGTAATAAAATCAGTGGGAGCATGATAGGTTAAACCACTCCCAAAGTATGAGAAGCTTTGTACTATTGTCCTGTGGACAGTGGAGATTCCGGGAACAAAGATACAATTTTGCACTGAAGCTCTGCAACTGAAGTTTCTGGGCTGTCATCCATTGATCCTCCTTACTGGCAATATGGTTGTCACTATGAGGCTTCAGTTTGAAGAGATCAAAGACAGCTTTTCAAATATAGATGATGTTTTTAGTGTTGGCAATGTATATTTTGTAGGGCTGAGATGTACAATCATGAAGATCATACAGCCATCTTCTTTTTCCTAAGTCATTGTCAGATGTAAAGCTGGGTTTTGTTATGACAGATGTGACATGTGAGCAGTCTGCAAGATGTCTGGCATCTTCCAGTTGCCTCAGTTATTGATTTCTATATCTGCCTACCACTCCCAGTGATACAGATGTTGCTCTGACAATGGCTGTGTTATGCTTTCTGGCCATCCTAATTCAGATATAACCCCCAAACCCTACCTTCAAATCCTCCCCCTTCCTCTCCCCCCCCCTTNTTTTTTTTTTTTTTTGCCTTTTTCTGTAATAGCCCTCTGGAAATGAGGTGTCTTGTGCAACAAGCCATATATTATCAAGTTGATTATTGGTCAGCAGTGTGCTCTTGTGGCAGTGAAAGCTGAGCATGTAATGGCTTGCATTATCAGAGCCATAGCAGGTGAAGGTAAATGCTGGCTATTGTTGTCGTTATAATTCAGCACTGAAATAGATATCTATTTGGAATACTGTCCCAGCTTTGTGGACCTCAATAAAGGCAACTGCTTACAAACAGAAGTAGATGTGCTCTAGCTCTCATAAAATTCAGACAAGTGTTGAAAATTTGCTTCTTAATGGATTTCTGAGACTCACAGAATTGTAGGTGCTGGAAGGGACCTCTAGAGATCATCTTGTCCAACCTCCCTAACAAAGCAGGCTCCTTAGACCAGGTGATGTCTGGATAAGATCCAGAGCAGCCTGATCTATCTTCACTTATTGTTGCTTTGACCAAACGGTTCTACTCGAGAGGTCCCTTCCAAACTAACTCTTCTAAGGCTTCATGACTTTCCCTGCCCATCTCTTCTGTAAAGAAGCCAGTTCTTTCATGACATTTGGGATGGACTGGACTTCTTCAGTGATGGAAAGAGGAAAATGAGATCAAGTAGGCATCATGTGGCTGGTATTACACTCTGTTCTGTGATTTCAACATTGTACTTCTCGTGTTTAGAATAGCGGTCACTGAAAAAAAGACTGTCTCTTCTCTGTGTCATATATGGTACTGTTTTCACAGGAGTAGAAGTCATCTTAATGAGGAATCTTGAAGAGTTACAGGAAAGAAAAGGCATTAGTCTTTATAATAAACTAAATATGCTGTGAGGCATTTGGTAGTGAAAAAAACCAGTCAGAAGAGTGTTCCAAAACAAAGAAGTGACAGTAGAAGAAGAGAATAAGAAATGAATAGTAGGAAAACGTCAGTATTGTTCTGTTGCTGCCTATTCATTCCCTCTGAACTGAGAGGGTAAGAAAATATGACTCTGGCCATAGACATTAATAAGAACTGATTTGAATGCTGGTGGCTGGGTCACTGGGTCAGTGACAGCACTGACAGAGCTGTTCTGTGAATGAAACCTGGTGTGTAATGCCTCTCTTGCAGTCTAAGACATCAAGGACTACTGTGTCAGAAACTGTGATGCTGTGAGGTCATTAAATTTCTGGCTGTCATCCAGTATTTTGTAGCACAGAGATGCCTTCAGCGCAAGTTAGGGATTCCTTGTCAAAGCAACCTTGTATGAAAAACTGTGGGGCGAATCTGCCATGTTGAGATTGCTACTGCTGGAGTAGGTGTGTGTTTCCCTGGCATAACAGCCTTAGGGCTAAGCTTTAATTCTGAATTTCCATCTGTAAAATTCTGCAGCATGTTTCTTGAGGCTGATCACGTTGGATTTATCTCTGTTCAGAGTTTCTTCACTTGGAATGGGTGTTGATTGCCACCTAGAACACTGAAGTTCTTAGCTTGGCAGGGTATGGCACTCAGTATTCCAGTTTGTAGCATGCTCTTTTAAGTCATTAATATATCTTTTAGTATCCCAGTTATACTATTATAATTAGTATATACAAATATATTTATTTACTTATTATTATATATACAAACATATGATATATATTATATTATTATTATATTATAAATAAAATAAAATAATAAGTATATATAATAGATCCACAATATTGTGGAGCTCAAGATACGTGACTAATATATCATGAAGGTAAGTATTCCTTCTCATTTTTCCTATGATGCTTCAAATGTGAAGAAGACTGTTGGTGCACTGTTGCAGATTAACCCAGCAGGCAGCTAAGCACCACAGAGCTGTTTGCTCACTGCCCCACTGGAATGAGGGAGAGTCAGGTAGAAAAGAAGGTAAAACTCATGGGTTGAGATAAAGATAATTCAATAGGATGAAAAAGGAAGGGAAAATAATAATGATGACAGAAGGATGCACAGAACAATTGATGCACAGTGCAGTTGCTAACCACTGCTGACTGATGCCCAGCCACTCCCTGAGCATCAGCTGCCTCACTGTCCAAATCTCCTTGGTTTTACTGCTGAGCATGCCACCATGTGGTATGGCATGCTTTTGGCCAGCCTTGCTCACCTGTCCTGGTTCTGTGCCCTCCCAACTCTTTGTGCACTCTATCTCCTTGCTGGAACAGCAGTGTGAGAAGCTGAGATGCCCTTGGCACTGTGTAAACATTGCTCAGCAATAACTAAAACAGCAGCACTGTACAGCATGAGGAAGAAAATTAACCGTACCTCAGCTGAAACCAGGACATGGACTCAACTGCTCAAACCTATAAGCCAAAACCTTGATGGAAGAAGATTTGCTTTAGTGAAGCAAAAGAACTTTGCCTTTATAAGTATTTTAAAAAGTGGGGAAAATAATGAAAGATGTCATTATTGGTACTCAGGGAATATTTTAAATAAGTGGTACTGCTGCATGATATCTGAGGGTAAAAGTTAGAAGTTGCACGTGTACTTCATTTATCAGTTGGCAATGAGTTGTATGTGGAACAGCTTCTCAACCACAGTGAGGCTTGCCTTTCCTGTTTCCAAATATCCGTTCACTGAACAGAGCTTTCACTTGCTGTTTTGGTCTTGCAGAAGGAATTAAAATTACCATGAAGTAATTGAAAATGTAGCTACTTGTATCTGTTACATAGTCAAGAATACAAAAAGTGCTCCCAGATTTTCCCTAAAATTGAACAAAGACTTACCGAGGGAGTTCAGCTCTACTTTTTTGTTTGCTTTCCTTCACTTGCTGCCTGTTTTCTGTTAGCAAATTTTTATTTTAAATACAGCTTATGCTTATTCTGAATGCTTGGAAGGAGAAAATATCTTACTTAGGATTTCTTCCTTTTCTTATACAAAGGGGTTTATTGGTAAGGTGTGTTTTGAATGATGAAGAATGATTTATTGCTAATTAAAAATGACTTGTGTCATTTTTATTGCATTACCTTGCATTAACTTATTTAAATCAAGAAACTAAATGAAAGATGAATTGTCAAGGGAAAGTGTATTGTGAAACCACAATTTTAGAAGCAGAGAGAAAACAGAGCTAAAAATTAAAAAAAAAACAAAACAAAACAAAAAAAAAAAAAGAGGGGGATGAGGGTCAGTTTATTTTTTTATTTTTTATTTTTTTTAAAAGGACACTCAAAGAAAACCTAGAAGTCTTCTTCCCCTGGATCCAGAAGTTCTTTCTGTATTTGTGCCTCCATTTATCAGCAGAGATGATATTCACTCGACTAACACAAGTGGTAACAACTTCAACAGAGGTAAACGCCGGTCTTTCCGAAAAAAGAAAGAGAGACCAAAGTTGGAAAATGCCAAGACTCTCAATGGGGATCAGAAAGCACCTGGCACTGAAGATATTACAGTTCCAAAGGACATTGATCTCATTGGTTTGCCACAGCTGTGCTTCCCAGGTACTGCAGTCTTCCTACTTCTAAATGAGAACTGTTTTAATATTTGATGATTCATTATAAAAGTGTCTTTACTATATTGAAGAATTTCATAGTATAAATAAATAAATGTGTCTGTTTGTGAGCAAGTCCGTGTTGAGAGCAGCTGTTACGTGCAGGGCTGTTCAGTATGAACAGATCCATCAGTTCTGGTTGTTGTAACAGTTCCAAGAGGGGGAAACCAGAAATCCCTTTCTGTTATTGGTAAATCTTAGTTTAAATGAACATGTGCTTGCTCTTTAACTTTTTTTTTTTGTTTGTCTTAAACGACTGAGTACTTTTCACTTCACTTTTCATTGGCTATTAAGATATCCATGAAGTTATGACTATTTCCTCTAGGCTTAATTGCAACAATTTTAACAGGTGTATTGGAATTGCAGATCTTGCAAATATCTTGGAGGGGGAAAAAAAAGTGAACAAAACTCATCTGTTGTATTTTGCCATTTAAAATGCAAAATAACTATGTAATATCTTTTCTCCTTCAGTACTGTGTGGCTTACAACCTTTCTAATAACTCTTAAATAAAATGAAATATGTGCATTCTAAACACGTCAAACGAGACATTTCTCTTGAAATTGGGTAGAAATGAGCAGTATTTGTTATCAGTAATCATTTTTTCAAGCAGTTGTAAATCTATGTGTATAGACTTTTTTTTAAAAAAAAAAGTTTCTGTCTTATTGCAGGAGGACTTTTTATAACTGCAGAACCAAGAGAGGACCACATTCACTTCCTGGTCTTCACAGATGTCTGTGGTAACAGAACATATGGTGTTGTTGCACAGTACTATCAGCCAATACAAGTATGTTATTTAACTCAAGCTTTTATTGAAATATATTAAGAGATAAATGCTTTGAAAGTAGTGGCAGGTGTGTATTTCAAATTAGTTATCTGATAATTTTTGTTAGTAGGAATACAGAACAAATCAAATTTTATAATGCTGTTGTCATTTAATTCAATGCTGTTCTAATGTAAATTTCTAAGCAACTGTTATGATTTCAATTAGGAGTTTTGAATATTTAAATGAAGGCTTTTCCCTTGGGCATGTTTTTTTGTGTGTGTGTACTCTCTGTTCTTTATTAACATCTTCTCTACTAAAATTCATTTAGTATGTATGTTGTAGTCTTGTAGGCTGACATTTTTCTGAAGAGCTCAAGGGAGAGAGACATCTAAATCCCTTTAAAATTTGAGGGAATTGGGGTATCAACTCTCTTGGGTTCTTAAGAAAATGCCAGCCATAAATTCCTGATTAACATAAACACATTAATCTGTAGTTTCTTTGTAGGATGGCTGTATTGCCTCCAATGGGCAGGCCCAGTGGGAATCTGTGCGGGCTGGGAAGAAGCCTGGCTGTTTTGTACCGCTTGCTATTTGTGTTATATCCAGATATCCATATTTTAATGCCCTCAAGGATTGTCTGTCATGGTAAGACTTGCTATCCTGTTTGTCTCTACTGGAAATAATTATGCAGGTCTTAATGTATTAATATATGAGTTAGTGTAATACTAAAACAGTTGCTAGTTTTAAGTTATGAGATGTAGGGGAGTGGAAGAGAAGAACTGTAAAGTGAATGTTACTTGGATACTAAGAAGAAGACAAACAGGAATTCTGTCATGCTGGTATAAATTATGACACTGTATTTATTTATTTTTAACTAAATAATCCAAGTTATGTGAGGAAATACAGTGCTTACTTGGCTGTCATAGAATCAGGAGACAACATTGCAGCATACAGAGTACATCACAGGTTGAAAGTGGTAAAATATTGTGCAGTGCTGATGGGTTACAAGGTAAGTAATTATAGGTTTGTCTTTTTTCAGTAACTTATTTTGAGGTCATAACCTCATTACCTTTGTTTGTGCTAGATCTATCCTGCCATTTTCAAAGCATAACTAAAGGTATTAATTATGGATGGGGGACATAGAGATGATGGAAATTGGGTATCACAGAATGGCCAGGGTTGGAAGGGACCTCAAGGATCATGAATCCATGAATTTCCAACTCCCCTGCCACATGCAGGGCCACTAATCTCCCCATTTAATTAATATTAGACCAGGCTGCCCAGCATCCCATCCAACCTGGCCTTGAACACCTCCAGGGACGGGGCATCCACAACCTCAATGGGCAGCCTGTTCCAGCACCTCACCACTCTCTCTGTAAGGAACTTCCCCCTGACATCCATCCTAAATCTCCCCTCCCTCAACTTAAAACCATTTCCCCTTGTCCTGCCGTTATCCACCCTTTCAAAGAGTCGGTTCCCCTTGTGTTTGTAGGCTCCCTTTAAGTACTGGAAGGCTGCAATGAGGTCACCCTCAGCCTTCTTTCCTCCAGGCTGAACAAGCTCAGCTCCCTCAGCCTGCCTTCATAGGGGAGGTGCTCTACCCCCTGATCATCTTTGTGGCTCTCCTCTGGACCCTCTCCAACAGCTCTCTGTCTTTCTTGTACTGGGGGCTCCAGACCTGGACACAGTACTCCAGATGGGGCCTCACAAGAGCAGATTAGATAGGGACAATCACCTCCCTGTCCCTACTGGCCATCCCTCTTCTGATGGAGCCCAGGATACCATTTGTTTTCTGAGCTGCAAGGGCACACTTCTGGCTCATGTTAAGTTTTTCCATCAGGACCCCCAGGTCCTTCTCCACAGGGCTGCTCTCAAGGACCGCTCCTTCCAGTCTGTAGGGATGCCTGGAATTCCTCCAGCCCAAGTGCAAACCTTGCACTTTGCCGTGTTGAACCTCTAGGTTCACCTGGGCCCACCTTTCAAGCCTGTTGAGTCCCTCTGAATGGCATCTCTTCCTTCCACCGTATCAACCGATACACTCAGCTTGGTGTCATCAGCAAACTTGCTGGGTCTTCAGAGGGCAGTACAAAATTGGGATGATCACTAAAGTAGGAAGGAAGCCTTTCTTTGCCTTTCTGCTTTCCTTCCTGTGTCACTTTTTCCACTCCTTCCATTGAAGTTGCACCAGCTGTTGGTGCTGCTGGAGCTGAATCATTGCTGCCTTTTTCTACTTTCAGATCTCAAGTAAATGGTCATCTGTGTAACTGTTACAGCTGTGTACCTGAGGTGTGATGCTTTCCCATTTATCTAGCTTTTATAATATTTAAAGTGTTTTGTTCTTATAATATTCTGTGAACTCAACCTTTATAGGGGCATAGTACACATTAGCTTTCGGCTGCCAGGGAAATAGCATAGATTCAGCTTTTCCAGTAGTTTATATAGTAAATTCATGAATGAGTCATTTGTTCTCTGAAGTGAGATACTTCTGAGCTGGGAGAAGCAGTCAATGTGAATGGATTTCTAAATAGTCCACTAAAGGAGAAGTGGGAAAATATTCAGGAAAACCATGGAAAATTCCAGAGGTTGCAGAAATAGTTCTGGGTCTCTTGTATTTGTTCAGAGCAGACAGGAGCCAGCTTTCAGGTGGAGTCTCTGCACACGCAGAAAAAAACTTGCAGGTAGAGTCAGCTCTTCAGAAGTGCAAGCTCCTGCCTCTGGCTGGATATATTAAACACTGTGATTAAACATTTCTGCCTTAATCATATGTAATAGATTTCTGCACCTACTTAAAGCATTAGCCTCTAGGCTAGCTTTAGATAGTTTTGTCCTTTAAGCTGTATTGCTTTTTAGAGGGAGTTCAAATTCATCCTTAACCTACCATTTAAGCTTTAATTGATTAATAAATATGTGAATAATTATATGGAAATTCCACAGGTTAATAAAACTATGTGAAGTCCTGGTCTTGTAACAGAGATTTGTCATTCAGTTGCACATCTCTCCTTTCATATTGCTGGGGCATCTGGCTGTAAGATACTATTGTGTGGAGCTGGAAGGTGAGGGGAAATGGTGAAGCTGTGTTAAGTGCTGATTTTTCCTGCTGGACTGGAAATTCAACTGCTTATGTTTCCATGACATATTCTTTTGGAACTTTTTAAAATTTTATTTTTTAAGCTTGTAATCACTACTTGCTTTCCTTGATTCCATTTGATAGACAAATTCAGAGTATTCTGTTGTTTTTCTTTTATTTTTTTGCTCTTGTCAAATACCTCTTGTGTGCTTCAGTGGGTGGAGAGGAAGGAGTGGAGAGATAACATCATTATTATTGTTATTACTTTGTATTATGATCTTTGTTTTTTCCAGCATCAGGAATAAAACAGTTGCTGGGATGTGTGGCTGTTATGAATATAAGCAATTACAGCAAACAAGACCTCATTGATACATTTTGAGCATAGTTCTCTGTACAGCTGGAGTTGTTTCAGGTTTTTGTGACATTTCAAAACATTGTCACTCTTTTCCTGTAAACCAGAAATGAAGTTATTTTCATTTCAGGTGCCTTAAGTGCAATCAGGTGGCCTATAGGTTAAATATTCAATTTAATGTTTTCATTGAGCAAATGTTGTCAAGTCGTGGTGCCTTATATATTTAACAAGTAATAATAGCAGATTAGAAGAATGTCCTTGTTATGCTTCAGTGTTGTTTTGCAGGATGCTTCTTTTTTTTTTTTTGTTCTA